CATGATCTGACGAGGAGTCACAATAACGTGGCTGAAATATGTTTACCAAATCACACACTAGAAAGTGAAGGGACGACGACGTTTCGGTCCGTCCTGGACCATTCTCAAGTCGATTGTGAGTAGATTGTGAGTCGATTCACAATCGACTTGAGAATGGTCCAGGACGGACCGAAACGTCGTCGTCCCTTCACTTTCTAGTGTGTGGTCTGGTCAACAAAATACGCTCCCTTTAAAGAAAAATACGTTTCTTTAAAGAAAATATATTTCTTTGAAGACAATACGCGTTCTTAAAAGTATCTCTTCTTCGACGAAAATACCTTTTCTTCAAAGACAGTACATTGACTTTAAAGAAAATACGTTTTCATCCATTTCTACTCATTTATTTGATATTTCAGTAGTCCCGCCAACCACATATCCGGGAAAAATTAAACGACCCCCGCATCTTGACATCAATAAACATATCACTAAACATCTTTTCTAAACATCATTTTTATACTAACGTAAACAGCCAACATCTACCACATAACCGCATCGATTAATAAAATGCTAAATAGTACAAAGTCGCGTTTATATTTTCACTGGTGGAAGTCTTTCTCTTTTATTTTTTACTTTCAAAGTTTTTGGTAAAAGTTTTGAAGATTACCTTGGTTGTGTTTGTCACCTTGTTCTAACTTTTCCAAACAAACTTAGGGGGGGACTTCTTGAGCGTGTTAAATTTGCTTACCAAACATTTCTCCTAAACTTCGGTTACTTTGGAATTTGCTATTTTCATCTTCATTCAAATCGCTTCCAAACTTAGCAAGTAATTTACTAAGTATAATTAACACGTCTAGTGATTTCCTTTCCATTCGGGGGGGTGTCATTTAATTAAAAAAAAAAATTAATATTCTGACAAATTTTCTCAGTTTTTTTTCTTTCTGTTTGTCTGTGTGTCTGTCTCTTTCACTGTGCCTCTCTCTGTCACGTTCCTCTCTGTCGCTGCACCTCACTCTTTGTCACTGTGTCTCTCTTTGTCACTCTGCCTCTCTCAATATATCTCTCTCTTTTACTGTCACTATGATTGTCTCTTTTACTGTCACTGCTTCTCTGTTCATGTTACTGTGCCTCTCTTTATCTCTCCATAACACTCTAAATCCAACCGAAACACACTAAAACTAACCAAACTAGCCACATCGCACTAAAACTACTCAGAAAGGGTTCAGACTAGCGATATTGCACTAAAACTAGCCATAACGCATTAAAACTATCTAAAACGCACTAAAACTACGCACAATTCGCTCAAACTAGCAATATTGCACTAAAACTAGCCACAACGCATTCAAGCCAAAACGCACTAAAACTAGCCAAGCCCTATTAAGCATGGCTAGCAATATTGTCTCTGAGTACAATAGTCAAAGAATCAATAACATTTAGCTGGGTACCTGAGGTAGGTGCTAGAAAACAATCTATCAATTGGAAGGGATACGGGACAGACTAAAAGCTGGGATAAAAGACATTTAAGCGCTGGGATACAAGCACAGATGATGAGCTGGGATACATGGATATGAGGATATGAAACTAAGCGCTAGGCTACGAGGAGAAACGTACAACACTACTCATACGCAATTCAAAAACGTTCTGATAAAAACGTTGCCCTTGTGTGGGCAGTATACACTGGCTACTCATAAACGTTCCTGGGGAGAAATTTACATAAAAGTTCCTTGTGCATAGCATCAAGGGAACAAAGAAACGTTTCTGGCGATAAACTGCCAAAAAACCTTTCCTTTGTATAACATCAGAACTGTCCACTAGCAACAGACAAACGTTCGTGGCGAAAAAAAAAATACAGAAAAGTCTCCTGTCTCATTTAATGCAGCGAAGCCGTAAACACTAAATATGTAGATGAAGTCGTACGCCATCGCCAACACGAACGATGTGCTGCAGTTCTCTAAATAGCGGGATTGATGGTGATAGACGCTGTTCGCCTAGACGGCTCCCGCCTCGTCTTCGCTAGCGCGCGAGAAGCGAATTGTTTCTCAGCCAATAAAATGGAGTTTATACGACCATTAGAGCCTTGGCAAGCACATCACTATCCCTCAGATTTCTCTCCGTCATGGACTCGAAACTATGTGAATGAGGGTGAACAGGAAAAAGGTCTAAAAGTGAAATGTTCGAATAATTCGCATTGGAAGGATTAGGCGATCCGGTCATAGCGAGAGGGGTGTGTTTTGGTAGTGGGTGAGAGATATTGTTGAATGAGGCTTCATTCCGTCCTTCAGCGAGCGGAAGGCACACGATTCGAGTCCAATTAATATACGCTACAAAACGCGTAGCACATTCCACGAGCCACTACGAGAACCGGAATTTGGGGATGTTTGGGAAGCACTCAGACCTGTGTTACCACCACTGAAAAGCCACTAATGTTGCGGCAAACATTACATTCGCTCGAGATACGTTGCCGTTATGGCAGCCATAATGGCTATCGCCCTCCCCCCCTTCAAAACCCCTCCAGGTGTAGCATCATACTACAGTCGCAATTACACTAACGTTACAGCTATCGTCGCCGCTAGCGTTTAACGACGATCCCTGCTGGCAATGGTAATCACACTATCACCTGTTCAGGTATAAATGTGTTCAGGTATAATTCATGTCGCGATATGTACCGTGCGCAGAGCCGGTGAGCTGACACAAAAAAACGAATATGCAGGCGATGAGTCACAATAACGTGGCTGAAGTATGTTGACCAGACCACACCCTAGAAGGTAAAGGGACGACGACGTTTCGGTCCGTCCTGGACCATTCTCAAGTCGATTGTGTCTATACAATTTAAACGATGCATTCTCAAGTCTATACAATCGACTTGAGAATGGTCCAGGACGGACCGAAACGTCGTCGTCCCTTCACCTTTTAGTGTGTGGTCTGGTCTAAAAAACGAATAGGGTTCAGAACGTAACAATTTAAGAATTTGGGAACACGCATTAGGCTTGTTGGACCTATATTAGCGCGTGGGTCCCATATATATTAACCTCTACTCTCTATAATATACCTATTAAATCTATTTTTGTTATCTATTACACTATTTTTTTTAAACGATGCTAGCTGGTATCGCACATTCAGCTCATTCTCAACCCTATTCTCGTACCAGTGATACCCATTTCCACTCTAAACGAAACCTCCCAAGGGCGCGGTTCGAGGCCACTCCGGAAACCTCAGAACCTCGTCAACATTCCCCCAGCCCGTCCTCCAACAGCCCGTCCTCCAAACAAAGACCCAAAAGTGATTCCATGCACCCGCCAAACCCCCTGTTTATGAATGAAAAGCGGTTTACACACGACTCACAACTGCTGACGTTCGAACATATCCGGAACAAGTGCTTCACTGACGAATTTTGTTCGAACCACAACGCTGCAAATGCTTCACCCACGTACTACAAATAAAAAAATAATCGCCAACAGAACCTAAACATCTAACCTAACCAAACCTAACCTAACCTAACCTAACCTAACCTAACCTAACCTAACCTAACCTATGCCTATATATACACAATATGCTAATATATTATAATAATATATATTTGAGAAAATTCCTGTTTTCAATGAACAACATGTAACAATTTATGAATGCGTCTGTGGGGTCGACCGCTGGATGGAATGGACTTGAGTCGAGGACGGGTTGGTATGTGTTAATGACCAAAAAGAACGTCGATCATATCCAACTCAGGTCCAGCGGCTCTCAACTGCCTCTACCCTCTCTTCAGTTTGCTTTCTTACGTAAGAACATAAAAGTTAAGGAAACGGCAGAGGGTTCATTTACCCCTATTAAGGTAAGGTGTTAATCAGGAGGAAGCACTAAGCCATTATTACTATATAGCACTTGGAAGGAATGAGAATAAGGATTTGGGATTGGACGGAGGGAAAGAATGGTGTCCAAAATTGTGGACACATGCTGGAATAGTTCATCTATCCCAGGTCTGTCATGCATCTATCCCAGGTCTATCATGCATCTATCCCAGGTCTGTCATGCATCTATCCCAGGTCTATCATGTTACCCGATAATTTGTTCCATAAATCAACAACACTGTTTTCAATACAGTATTAATCCAGGTCTTTCCGGAATATATAATTATCCGAACTATCTATTATGTAGTATTCTATTTTTTATATATGAAATTTTATATTTGTCCCGTTTTGCTATTCCCTTTTATCCACTTATATATATATATATATATATATATATATATATATATATATATATATATATATATATATATATATATATATATATATATATATATATATATGTCGTACCTAGTAGCCAGAACGCACTTCTCAGCCTACTATTCAAGGCCCGATTTGCCTAATAAGCCAAGTTTTCCTGAATTAATATATTTTCTCTAATTTTTTTCTTATGAAATGATAAAGCAACCCATTTCATTATATATGAGGTCAATTCTTGTTTATTGTAGTTAAAATTAACATAGATATATGACCGAACCTAACCAACCCTACCTAACCTAACCTAACCTATCTTTATAGGTTAGGTTAGGTTAGGTAGCCGAAAAAGTTAGGTTAGGTTAGGTTAGGTAGGTTAGGTAGTTGAAAAACAATTAATTCATGAAAACTTGGCTTATTAGGCAAATCGGGCCATGCATAGTAGGCTGAGAAGTGCGTTCTGGCTACTAGGTACGACATATATATATATATATATATATATATATATATATGTCGATGGTCTCCTCTGATTGGTCTCATCAGCCAATGTTGATATTGCCACCACCACCACCACCACCACCACCACTACCACCATCACCACCACCGCCTACAGGGTACGAGGTGTTTTGCCTCACACAGTATTTCAATTAATGTTAATTTTCCAGTGTCCTCATTTTCTCGCGGCGGGGGTCAAATAGGGTCCCGCCCACCTACCTTGCAGTGGGGGTCACAGGAGGGGTCACGTGGGGTCCCGCCCACCCACCTCGCAGTGGTGGGGTCATATATGGGGTCCCACCGACCCATCGTATGATGGAAAATATCGAGTTGGTCAGTGGAGTTGATGAGCCAGTGAATCGATTAGCCAGTGGGTTGCTTGATCTGTGGGTTGGTGAGAGTGGGCATAGCGACCCCCAGATGCAGCCCTGGGCAGGGCGTGGGTCATACCTGCTGGACACAGGGACGGGTCAGATGCCTATAGTGAATAATGGACATTATCTACTACAAGACCAAGAAGTAAAGCAGATTTAATAAGCAGGAACATACCGAACAGTGCAAACATCTCTCGGCTGAAAGCCTGGGTGGAATTCTAGTACACTTGCCCCCATGAAGGATGTAACGTTCATTCAGCCTCTGTTGGTACGACCACTATTATTGGTACGACCACTATTATTGGTACGACCACTATTATTGGTGCGACCACTATTATTAGTACGACCACTATTATTGGTACGACCACTATTATTGGTACGACCACTATTATTGGTGCAACCACTATTATTGGTGCAACCACTATTATTGGTACGACCACTATTATTGGTGCGACCACTATTATTGGTGCAACCACTATTATTGGTGCAACCACTATTATTGGTACAACCACTATTATTGGTACGACCACTATTATTGGTGCAACCACTATTATTGGTGCAACCACTATTATTGGTACAACCACTATTATTGGTACAACCACTATTATTGGTACAACCACTATTATTGGTACAACCACTATTATTGGTACAACCACTATTATTGGTACAACCACTATTATTGGTACGACCACTATTATTGGTACGACCACTATTATTGGTGCAACCACTATTATTGGTGCAACCACTATTATTGGTACAACCACTATTATTGGTACAAACACTATTATTGGTACGACCACTATTATTGGTACGACCAATATTATTGGTACGACCACTATTATTGGTACATCCACTATTATTGGTACAACCACTATTATTGGTACGACCACTATTATTGGTACGACCACTATTATTGGTACAACCACTATTATTGGTACGACCACTATTATTGGTACGACCACTATTATTGGTACGACCACTATTATTGGTGCGACCACTATTATTGGTGCGACCACTATTATTGGTACGACCACTATTATTGGTACGACCACTATTATTCGTGCAACCACTATTATTGGTGCAACCACTATTATTGGTACAACCACTATTATTGGTACAAACACTATTATTGGTACGACCACTATTATTGGTACGACCACTATTATTGGTACGACCACTATTATTGGTACATCCATTATTATTGGTACAACCACTATTATTGGTACGACCACTATTATTGGTACAACCACTATTATTGGTACAACCACTATTATTGGTACAACCACTATTATTGGTACAACCACTATTATTGGTATGACCACTATTATTGGTACGACCACTATTATTGGTGCAACCACTATTATTGGTGCAACCACTATTATTGGTACAACCACTATTATTGGTACAACCACTATTATTGGTACAACCACTATTATTGGTACAACCACTATTATTGGTACAACCACTATTATTGGTACAACCACTATTATTGGTACGACCACTATTATTGGTGCAACCACTATTATTGGTGCAACCACTATTATTGGTACAACCACTATTATTGGTGCAACCACTATTATTGGTACAAGCACTATTATTGGTACAACCACTATTATTGGTACAACCACTATTATTGGTACAACCACTATTATTGGTACAACCACTATTATTGGTACAACCACTATTATTGGTACATCCACTATTATTGGTACAACCACTATTATTGGTACAACCACTATTATTGGTACAACCACTATTATTGGTACAACCACTATTATTGGTACATCCACTATTATTGGTACAACCACTATTATTGGTACAACCACTATTATTGGTACAACCACTATTATTGGTACAACCACTATTATTGGTACAACCACTATTATTGGTACAACCACTATTATTGGTACATCCACTATTATTGGTACAACCACTATTATTGGTACAACCACTATTATTGGTACAACCACTATTATTGGTACAACCACTATTATTGGTACAACCACTATTATTGGTACATCCACTATTATTGGTACAACCACTACTAAACTTTCATGAATGTTGACGTGACACAATCATGAGGCTATAATAATCATAACGTGACATACACTAGAAAAATGCTTCAGGATAACACGAATATTTCATTTTTCAACTGGAAATTTTCATTCTGGAAGATATCCTTCTCAAACAGACCTAATATGAACATGCAAAACATCGACCTTTGCGTCATTATCAACAAGCGTCATTATCAACAATGTAGACTAAACCCCAACCAATGAGAATGATATCATTGTAGAGTAATAGACTAAACCCCAACCAATGAGAATGATATCATTGTAGAGTAATAGACTAAACCCCAACCAATGAGAATGATATCATTGTAGAGTAATAGACTAAACCCCAACCAATGAGAATGATATCATTGTAGAGTAATAGACTAAACCCCAACCAATGAGATTGATATCATTGTAGAGTAATAGACTAAACCCCAACCAATGAGAATGATATCATTGTAGAGTAATAGACTAAACCCCAACCAATGAGAATGATATCATTGTAGAGTAACTCGCACCCGTTCATCACTTGAACCCTACTGCTTAATTCACCTAACCGGTACCTCACCTATAACTGTGTATATATCCTGCTTCCCCTGCATCATGAAACGTGCCAGGCAAGTCCACTACGGGCTCACCATAGCCCGTGCTACTTGCCCCGCTCCTGTGCCAGGTAAGTCCACTACGGGCTCACCATAGCCCGTGCTACTTGCCCCGCTCCTGTGCCAGGTAAGTCCACTACGGGCTCACCATAGCCCGTGCTTCTTGCCCCGCTCCTGTGCCAGGTAAGTCCACAACGGGCTCACCATAGCCCGTGCTACTTGCCCCGCTCTTGTGCCAGGTAAGTCCACAACGGGCTCACCATAGTCCGTGCTACTTGGAGCTTATTGTTCCAAGTAGCGAATCTTAAACAACAACAACAGCATCATAAACCAAACGACCTTAGAAGAGCTTTAAGAGTCCCTGAATCTTGCAGTAACCACCATCTTCTTCTTGAGGTTATCTTGAGATGATTTCGGGGCTTTTAGTGTCCCCGCGGCCCGGTCCTCGACCAGGCCTCCACCCCCAGGAAGCAGCCCGTGACAGCTGACTAACACCCAGGTACCTATTTTACTGCTAGGTAACAGGGGCATAGGGTGAAAGAAACTGTGCCCATTGTTTCTCGCCGGCGCCTGGGATCGAACCCGGGACCACAGGATCACAAGTCCAGCGTGCTGTCCGCTTGGCCGACCGGCTCGGGCTCGGCCAACCATGAAGCCATATATAGTAGGCCAAGAAGTGCGTTCTGGCTACTAGGTGCGACATATGTTTGTATGTATGTATATATAGGGAGCCGGTCGGCCGAGTGGACAGCACGCTGGACTTGTGATCCTGTGGTCCTGGGTTCGATCCCAGGCGCCGGCGAGAAACAATGAGCAGAGTTTCTTTCACCCTATGTCCCTGTTACCTAGCAGTAAAATAGGTACCTGGGTGTTAGTCAGCTGTCACGGGCTGCTTCCTGGGGGTGGAGGCCTGGTCGAGGACCGGGCCGCGGGGACACTAAAGCCCCGAAATCATCTCAAGATAACCTCTCAAGAGAAGCCATCAACATAGCCACTCTCCTGGTCAAAAAAGGTGTCCAGCAGCTGGACACCCTCATAAAGACTGTCAAGCAGTATCCTCCCCTGCGATAGCAGCCTGACGATTAAATGCGACCTCAGTACACAGTATACATTTACTAACAAAAATCTACCGCTGCCCAGCACAAAGAGAACCACACCAATTCAGATCCAACAAATCTCAGAAGCGCCCAGACGGGGTCACTTTGCTTCCTTAGAAGCATGGGAAAAATGCTTCTAAGAAATGAAGAAAATGTGAATTGAAGTTTCCAAATGAATTAGGTGTCGAACTGATCAGCGTTCCTAAAGACCAGAGAGTGAAAAGCTACTTGTTACAGCGCCTCAGTGTCGCAGTTCAGAGAGGAAATGCTTGTTGCATCTTGGGCACGAGTCCAACTTCGGAAGAATTTGACGAGGTGTTTGACTTGCAACATATGATCGATCTGTCTGTGACATATATTAAGGTATCCAGTTGGTGTGTTTTTCATTTTACTTCTATTGGTTCAGTTGTGTATGTGTTAAGGCCACATTTTGTAATCTTGTTCAATAAAGTTCCCTATATATATATATATATATATATATATATATATATATATATATATATATATATATATATATATATATATATATATATATATATATATATATATATAATAATAATAATTCTACTGTGGATATTTCATGTATTGTATATTAAAGTCAACACAGCAAAAATATAGTTTATTATAGTGAACAAGAAAAATAAATATGATGATGGTAAAAAATTTAGGAAAAATATAGGGTAAAATTCTTGGTTAAAGAGGACGGTATATTTGTACCTTTTGTTCCTTACTGCTCTGATTTTTATCATATCTTATAATTAAATACTTGTAAAGATTCCAAAGTAAATAGGAACTGAAGTCTCTTGCATTACTGCTACTGAAACTGGTGCTTCTGCTGCTGCTAGTACTTCTGCTGCTGCTACTACTGCTGCTAGTACTTCTGCTGCTGCTACTACTGCTGCTAGTACTTCTGCTGCTGCTCCTGCTAGTACTTCTGCATCTGCTGCTGCTAGTACTACTACTGCTGCTAGTACTTCTGCTGCTGCTGCTGCTAGTACTTCTGCTGCTGCTAGTACTTCTGCTGCTGCTAGTACTTCTGCTGCTGCTGCTGCTAGTACTTCTGCTGCTGCTGCTGCTAGTACTTCTGCTGCTGCTGCTGCTGCTAGTACTTCTGCTGCTGCTAGTACTTCTGCTGCTGCTACTACTGCTGCTAGTACTTCTGCTGCTGCTACTACTGCTGCTAGTACTTCTGCTGCTGCAACTACTGCTGCTAGTACTTCTGCTGCTGCTGCTGCTAGTACTTCTGCATCTGCTGCTGCTAGTACTACTACTGCTGCTGCTGCTAGTACTTCTGCTACTGCTAGTACTTCTGCTGCTGCTGCTAGTACTTCTGCTGCTGCTGCTGCTAGTACTTCTGCTACTGCTAGTACTTCTGCTTCTGCTGCTGCTAGTACTTCTGTTTCTGCTGCTGCTAGTACTTCTGTTTCTGCTGCTGCTAGTACTTCTGCTTCTGCTGCTGCTAGTACTTCTGCTGCTGCTGGTACTTCTGCTTCTGCTGCTGCTAGTACTTCTGTTTCAGCTGCTGCTAATACTTCTACTGCTGCTAGTACTTCTGCTTATGCTGCTGCTAGTACTTCTGCTTATGCTGCTGCTAGTACTTCTGCTGCTGCTGGTACTTCTGCTTCTGCTGCCGCTAGTACTTCTGCTTCTACTGCTGCTAGTACTTTTGTTTCTGCTGCTGCTAGTACTTCTGTTTCTACTGCTGCTAGTACTTCTGCTTCTGCTGCGGCTAGTACTTCTGTTTCTACTGCTGCTAGTACTTCTGCTTCTGCTGCAGCTAGTACTTCTGTTTCTACTGCTGCTAGTACTTCTGTTTCTACTGCTGCTGGTACTTCTGCTTCTACTGTTGTTGGTACTTCTGCTGCTGCTGCTGCTAGTACTTCTGCTGCTGCTGTTAGTACTTCTGCTGCTGCTGCTAGTACTTCTGCTTCTGCTGCTGCTGCTAGTACTTCTGGTTCTACTGCTGCTAGTACGTCTGCTTCTACTGCTGCTAGTACTTCTGTTTCTGCTGCTGCTAGTACTTCTGCTTCTGCTAGTACTTCTGCTGCTGCTGCTGCTAGTACTTCTGCTGCTGCTGCTAGTACTTCTGGTTCTGCCAGTACTTCTGTTTCTGCTGCTGCTAGTACTTCTGTTTCTGCTGCTGCTAGTATTTCTGCTGCTGCTGCTGCTAGTACTTCTGCTTCTGCTGCTGCTAGTACTTCTGCTTCTGCTGCTGCTAGTACTTCTGTTTCTGCTGCTGCCAGTACTTCTGTTTCTGCTGCTGCTAGTACTTCTGTTTCTGCTGCTGCTAATACTTCTGCTGCTGCTGCTAGTACTTCTGCTTCTGCCAGTACTTCTGTTTCTGCTGCTGCTAGTACTTCTGTTTCTGGTGCTGCTAGTACTTCTGTTTCTGCTGCTGCTAGTACTTCTGCTTCTGCTGCTGCTGGTACTTCTGTTTCTGCTGCTGCTAGTACTTCTGCTTCTGCTGCTGCTGGTACTTCTGTTTCTGCTGCTGCTAGTACTTCTGCTTCTGCTGCTGCTAGTACTTCTGCTGCTGCTGCTAGTACTTCTGGTTCTGCCAGTACTTCTGTTTCTGCTGCTGCTAGTACTTCTGTTTCTGCTGCTGCTAGTATTTCTGCTGCTGCTGCTGCTAGTACTTCTGCTTCTGCTGCTGCTAGTACTTCTGCTTCTGCTGCTGCTAGTACTTCTGTTTCTGCTGCTGCTAGTACTTCTGTTTCTGCTGCTGCTAGTACTTCTGCTTCTGCTGCTGCTAGTACTTCTGCTGCTGCTAGTACTTCTGCTGCTGCTAGTACTTCTGCTTCTGCTGCTGCTAGTACTTCTGCTGCTGCTAGTACTTCTGCTTCTGCTGCTGCTAGTACTTCTGTTTCTGCTGCTGCTGGTACTTCTGCTTTATTTTTTTATTTTTAGAACTTTTTATTTTGCAAGTACTCACACTGTTCACCAAAACCGTTATCTTCTGCTGATTTATAATTAAGAATGTGACATAACGTTAATGGTCAAGTTTTACTATCTGATGTAACGCCTAGGTCCTAGCATGGCGTAGAGTGGCATCCTAGCAATCTGGTGTGACTCCTAGCATGGCGTGGAGTGGCATCCTAGCAATCTGGTGTGACTCCTAGCATGGCGTGGAGTGGCATCCTAGCAATCTGGTGTGACTCCTAGCATGGCGTAGAGTGGCATCCTAGCATTCTGGTGTGACTCCTAGCATGGCGTGGAGTGGCCTCCTAGCAATCTGGTGTGACTCCTAGCATGGCGTGGAGTGGCATCCTAGCATTCTGGTGTGACTCCTAGCATGGCGTGGAGTGGCATCCTAGCATTCTGGTGTGACTCCTAGCATGGCGTAGAGTGGCATCCTAGCAATCTGGTGTGACTCCTAGCATGGCGTTGAGTGGCATCCTAGCATTCTGGTGTGACTCCTAGCATGGCGTTGAGTGGCATCCTAGCATTCTGGTGTGACTCCTAGCATGGCGAAGAGTGGCATCCTAGCATTCTGGTGTGACTCCTAGCATGGCGTTGAGTGGCATCCTAGCAATCTGGTGTGACTCCTAGCATGGCGTGGAGTGGCATCCTAGCATTCTGGTGTGACTCCTAGCATGGCGTGAAGTAGCATCCTAGCATTCTGGTGTGACTCCTAGCATGGCGTGAAGTAGCATCCTAGCATGGCCAGGTGTTTAAATAAATAAAAACACCCGTAACACCTGTCAGGCGCAGCAGTGTTCAAATCTCAAAATATTGATGTACCTAATTTGCAATAGGATGGTGGGATTCGAACTGGTAGCCTATGGTGGGGGCCCAGGATGCTGGTTCAATCCCTCCCCCGTGTCCTACTGCAAAGCTTTCGTCGTGGATACATCAGACTATTTGTGTATTTATGGAATTGTTTGTGAAGGTTTTGAATTATATTAACACTTATAACTCAGGAGATAAGCTGATCGTGTCTTTCATGTTATGTAAATAAGTTTCATCTGGGGAAACATGGTGGATTAGGTTAGATTGGTCATTGCCATGTTTGTGTGTTGTGAGAATGTCCTCACCTAGTTGTGCTTGCGGGGGTTGAGCTCTGGCTCTTGGGGCCCGCCTCTCAACTGTCAATCAACTGATTTTTTTTTTTACACACACACACATGAAGTAGCCGGTAGCGGCTAACTCCCAGGTACCTATTTACTGCTAGGTCAACAGGAGCATCATGGTGAAAGAAACTCTGTTCATTTGTTTCCGCCTCCGCCGGGGATCGAACCCGGACCCTTAGGACTACGAATCCCGAGCGCTGTCAATTCAGCCGTCAGCCCTCCTACAAGTCAAGTGGATAACGTACTGGATACGCATGCGTGTTTGGAGCACCAGGCTATCTAAGGTTCGAATCCTTCACGAGGTTGAGTTTTTTAGTGACATAACTTGCGCGTTTATTCAAGTGTCTCGTACACACACACACACACACACACACACACACACACACACACACACACACACACACACACACACACACACACACATATATATATATATATATATATAAAACCCAAAGATTGTCAAGTTATATTGGTGAAAATGCAGGATGCTTAGTTTATTCTAAATTGAAAAATGGAAATTTTTCGCGGGAGCCGTGTTGACCATATCCAACATGGCGGTTCAGAAAAGTCGTGACAGGGCCGCGACTCTGGCGCGAACAGAGACATACGCTGGCTCCAGATATCCCGAGTGTGATTCGCTGCGGTTGAAACATAGATTAACCAATCGGGGATTGACAAGCGGGAGGAATCTAAATGGTACGCCCCAGTCCCGCCAGACGTCAGTGTGTCACGGGAATTTGGACGGGGAGGACGTGACTTACGTCAACTCAGAAAGTTCTGGGAATATGACGTGTACGGAATGTTTAGAGGTTAAGAGACGATGACGTGCACATGGAGCAGCCAAGTGAATCTTTTTGGGTGATATTGGTAAGTAACACTCTGCTGGTTGCAAGAGAAGGAAGGAAGGAAACTATTAGGGGGGGAAAGCGCCAAGCCATTACGACTATATAGCACTGGGAAGGGGTCAGGATAAGGATTTGGGATGGGATGGGGGGGAGGGGGATGGAATGATGCCCAACCACTTGGACGGTTGGGGATTGAACGCCGACCTGCATGAAGCGAGACCGTCGCTGTACCGTCCGGCCCAAGTGGTTGGGCTGGTTGCAAGAGAAGTGCACGTCAGAAGATCGTTATAATGGTCCTAGACCGTAAGTTTAAACGGTACTTCTGGACAAGGAAGAGCCATTGTGGAGAGGGTCTCAACAGCCTAACCTCCTGTAACCGTCACATGTTTCTGAGGCCAGGCCTGCGACCAGATTAAGGAAAGCACTTACCCAAGTACTTACGAACGTGTACATCTTTCTTCAATCTTTGAGGGCTTTGGTTACATTTATTAAACAGTTTACAAACATGAAAACTTCCCAATCAACTATTGTTATTGTTATAAACAGCCTCCTGGTGCTTCGAGCTCATTAACTGTTTAATAATTGTAAACAAAGCTGCCAAAGATTGAGAAAAGATGTACACGTTCGTAAGTGCTTGTGTAAGTGCTTTCGTTAATCTGGCCTGTGGCTAGTAAGAGCCAGCAGTGACTGAAATAAGATAACCATTGAAAAATACAAGCGTAGTCCATCTGACTGAGTAATTCTGTAGCACATCAAAGAGAGGGAGGAAGTGTGAAACACCCACTACTCCGTGGTCACAATCAGTAAGAAGTGTGGAAATGAAGCGCTCGATTACACTGCAGCCATATTTTTAGTGAGAGTGAGCAGTGTGATATGGTAGCAGAAGCCTAGTGAACCTGGTGCGATAGGTCACTCTCTACCGGTGGACAATCAGTGTTTTGTGGATAATGAGTGACTTTCTGATGCCTGGTCACCTGAAGTGCAGGCATAAGCGTCGAACTCCAAGTGTGTACAAAGTTGTTGGTGGACACAATCTGGATTTTCACTATATTAAAAGAACAGTTTCGAAGGCAACTTTATGCCATGGAGGACCGAGAGCTTTTAGAAGTTAGTCCCGTCAAGTACTCGGTCGCCTGGAACAGCAGCGTAAGGACGAGTGCGTGAGTACGAGGACAGAGTGAGAAGAGTGACGAACGTGCAACATGCTAAGAGAAGATACAACTTGAAACGTGTGCAAGAAAGGAGATTTTTTTTAGAGAGATATATACAAGAGTTGTTACATTCTTGTACACATGAAATGAGATGACACATGAGATGAAATACACATAAGATGACACTGCATCACCTGGGCGACTTCATCACGCACTCATTACACAGTGCACAGTTACTAACCCATTAAGATTTCAACTTAGATTCAACAGAACAGAAGTTGCTGAACACATGGGGCAAAATCTTACTGAAGCGACCATACGAGTCATAAATACTCATACTCCGCCTAAGTAGAACAGAAGCAAGCAACACTTAGTGGGCCAAGTTCAAGTAAGTTTATTGAGACAAGAAAAACAAATACATCTCAAAGGGACTTAGTAAGCCAGCCAGAGGCTTAGGGCCCGCGCAGGAATATCCCAGCCAAACAAAAAAAATGGTAAACTCTGGTAAATCAAGTTTTCCCTCCTGTTTTCCCCTGAATTAGGCTGTTTTCGGGAACAGGTAAGATTTCTATTGTTTTCAATTAATGTATATGCTCCGTATGACTGTTTATATATATGTTCTGGACTGCGACATTTTCTTGGTTACTCTATGACAAGTGGCCTGATTTTGTGTCCTTAAAATTTGATGCAGTTGCCTGACAAGTTTGCCGAGTGATTCTGTTACGAAGCTTCAACATAGCCTAATTAAAAGTTTTTGCTAGCATTTCATAGTGATCATAGCATTGA